CTGGCTACCTAGCTGCTGGCTAGCTAGCTGCTGGCTAGCTAGCTGCTGGCTAGCTAGCTGCTGGCTAGCCAGCTGCTGGCTAGCTAGCTGCTGGCTAGCTAGGTGTTGGCTAGCTAGCTGGGCGTCTCACCCTGCCTGGCTAGCTGCGCGGGGGTCTGGAGGCCCCCGAACTTTGCTGCTTCGAGGGCGTCTGCGTCTGCTGCCATTTGCTGCCGCAGCAGCAGCCGGTCGTCCTGCAGCGAAGCCCAAACGAGTCTTTCGAATTCCATTTTGCTCTGCAGCACGGACCGGTCGCTGCAGCGCAGCAGCACACCAAGCAGCTGCTGGCTGGCTAGCTGCAGCAGCTAGCTGCAGCGGCCAGCTGCAGCAGCAAGCTGCAGCGGCGAGCTGCAGCGGCGAGCTGTGCTGCTGCAGCAGCTAGCTCGGCCGCTGCAGCAGCTAGCTAGCTAGCTGCAGCAGCTAGCTGGCTAGCTGCAGCAGCTAGCTGGATGGCTGCAGCAGCTGGCTAGCGAGGAGACACGGGGACACCTAGTTAGCCAGGATACAGCAAGCTAGCCAGGAGACACAAATACAGCTAGTTACGAAAGAAACAAGGGAACAAAAAGATAAACATAGCCAGAAGCAGCAGCAGCAGCAGAAGCAGCAGCAGCAGCAGCAGCAGAAGCAGCAGCAGCTCACATGTGGTAGCCCATAATTGCAGAGATGAGCGCCAACCCAGAGACCACCCCTACGAAAACGCCTTCCCTCACTTTGACAGGAGTTGCTTTCACGATGCTGCAGCAGCAGCAGCAGCAGCAGCAGCAGCCGTTGAAGAGCCGCCACATTTCAGTCGCCGCACGTACAACGCCTAGCGAGGAGGCACAGCAAAACCAGAATGCAGAAACAGCAGCAACAGCAGCAGCAACAGCAGCAGCAGACCATCAAAGGCAGCAGCTGGCACAGTGTTTCCAACAACTTCAGCAGCAGCAGCAGCAGCAGCAGCAATGGCAGCAGCAGCAGCAGCAGCAAAGGTCCCACATGAAGTCAGGCAACGTAAAGGCGTAGATGACTGGAGGCATGATTGTCCCGACCATGCAAAAGGCCATTACCATCTGCAGCAAACAGCAAATAGCAGCAGCAGCAACAGCAGCAACAGCAGCAGCAGCAGCAACAGCACCGAAAAGACAGTCAATGCACAAGCCCCCACTCCCCAAAACTCCAAACCCTAAACCCCAAACCCTAAACGCTTAGCCCTAAACCCCACCCCACCAATCCTTAAACCCTAAACCCTAAACCCTAAACCACAAGATCTAAACCCAAACCCTAAACCCCAAACCCCAAACCCCAAAACCTAAAACCTCAAGCCCCAAACCTCAAACCCCACCCCCAACACCCTAAATCCTAGACTCTAAACCCTAAACCCTAAACCCTAAACCCTGAACCCTACCATGCCGGTTTTGCAGTGGTCGTAGTGCTGCTGCGCGCGAAGCTCCGGGTTGCCTCTGAGTCTCGTCAGCACCACAAAGGCGACGCTGGCGAGGGCAGAAGCCACAGCCACGAAGCAGCACTGCAGCAGCAGCAGCAGCAGCAGCGACAGCAGTTAGAGCAGCAGCAAAGCACAGCCGCAGCAACAGCAGCAGCACACAGCAGAAGCAGCAGTAACGGAAGGAGCAACAGCAGCAGCAGAGCACAGCATCAGCAACAGTAACAGCAGCCGCAACAGCAGCAGCAAAGGACAGCATCAGCAACAGTAATAGCAGCAGCAGAAGCAGCAGCAGCAAATCAGACCCCAGCAGCAGCAGGAGCAGCGATAACATAAGGCACCCCCACCAACAAAACCATCACCTCCACCACCATCACCCTCACCACCATCACCAGCAGCAGCAGCAGCGGCAACAGCAGCAGCAGCAGCAGCAGCAGCAGCAGCAGCTTACAGCCATGGCAACGATGAGCATGCGCTGGGCCTCGTCGCAGATTTTGGATCTGTCAACAGCTCCGTAGGCAGACTCGAAAAGGTCCCTCCATTCGTACTGGGCCAAAGCCTTGGGCTGCAGCAAATGGCATTGCAGGAGCAGCAGCAGCAGCAAATGGCGCGGGGGGAGCAGCAGCAACTCGGGCTAGAAGGGTGCTTGATGAGCTGCAGTGAATTGCATTAGCTGGGCAGCAGCTAACGGTAGTTCATGAGCAGCAGCAAATGCCATTTGTGAGCAGCAGCAAATGGTTTGATGAGCAGCAGCAAACAGCGTTAAATAAGCAGCAGCAAATGGCGCTAGATGAGCAGCAGCAGTGTCAGATGAGCAACGACAGCAGCAATACCAGCACTAACAGGGGTTGCATCCCCAGCACCAACAGCAGCACCAGCAGCAGCTGCTGCTGCTACTATTGGCACTGCAGCAGCAGCAGCAGCAGCAGCAGCAGCAGCAGCTTACATTTTCTGCGTAGCTGCACAAATGGGTCTTCAGCTGAAACCAAGTCAGCAGCCAGCCGTCGACAATGACCACCAAAAATAAGCCCCAGCGGGAGTTGACTTTCACGTTGCTGTCAGCAGACTGCAGCAGCAGCAGCAGCAGCAGCAGCAGATGAAGATGCAGCAGCGGCGGATGCAGCAGCACACGCAGGAGAAGCGCCAAAAGTAGTGGTGGCGGAACGCACACAGTTAGCAGCAGCAGCAGCAGCAGAAAAGGCAACATCTGAAGATGCAGCAGCAGCAGAAGGCGCAGCAACAGCAGCAGCAGCCGGACAGTAGCAGCAGCAGCAGCGGGAAAGAGAGGGGGAGCCAGCTAGCTAGCTAGCTAGCTACCCAGCTAACCAGCTGGCTATATGGCCATCTAGCTGGCCATCTATCTGGCTATCTAGCTAGCCAGGTAGCTAGCTAGCCAGCCAGCTACCTGGCCAGCCAGCCAACCACCTAACTAGCTAGCTACCTAGCTAGCTAGCTATCCGGCCAGCTAGCCAGCTGGCTAGCTATCCAGCAAGCCACCCAGCTAGCTAGCTAGCTAGCTACTTAGCCAGCCAGCCAGCTAGCTAGCGACTCAGCTATCCAGCCAACTGGCTAGCTAGCTAGCTAGCCAGCCGGCTGGCCAACTAGCCAGCTAGATGACTGGCTAGCTAGCTAGCTAGCTAGCTGGCTAGCCAGCTAGCTAGCTAGCTAGCTGGGGCTTACGTAGTAGAAGACCAGGACGGCGCTGTTGAGGGCGGCAAGGAAGAAAGCAGCAAGAGCTCCTCCGAGGCGTAGCAAATGGTTTTTGTCATAAGGGTTTGCTGCAGTGAATGCGAAGATGCTGCGGGGGTTTGGTGCTGCTGCCATCTTGGCGAGAGGGCTCTAGCAGCAGCAGCAGCAGCAGCAGCAGCGGCAGCGGCATGTGCAGCAGCAGCAGCTGCTGCTGCTGCTGCAGCTGCAGCGCCCGCTGCTGCTGCTGCAGCTGCTGCTGCTGCAGCAGGAGTGGTCACAAGAAGCACGCAGCCTGGTGAGAAACAGCTGACGGGCAGACGCCGCAGCAATAGAGACCTGCTGCCGCTGGTCCTGCTGCTGCTGTTGCTGCTGCTGCTGCTGTTGCTGCTGCTGCTGCTGCTGCTGTTCTTGCTGTTGCAGTAAACGCTGGCACTTGCGGCGCTGCTGCCGTTGTTTCTGCTGCAGCTCAGGGACTCGGCGCAATTATGCTGCCACTGTTACTGCTGCTGCTGCTGCCGCCGCTGTTGCTGCTGTTGCTGCTGACGCTGCGGTTGTTGATGTTGCTGCTGTTGCTGCTGAGGCTGTTGTTGCTGATGTTGCTGCTGTTACTGCTGCATTCAAGTGTGTTTCTTGCAGTCCAGCTACTCACAGATCTCCTGCCGTAGTTGCTGCCGGTGCTGCTGCCGTCGCTGCTGCTGTTGCTGCAGTGAGGACAGTGAGGCTGCCACTGCTCTCGCTGCTGCTGCTGCTCTCGCTGCTGCTGCAGCGGTTTCTCCGACACATTCGTCTCCAAGACTTCCCCCAGGCGCTTCTGTTGCTGCTGGGTTTGCGGATATTACTTCTGCCGCTTCTCTTGCTGCTGTTGCAGCTGCTCCTGCTGTTGTGCCGCTGCTGCCGCTGCTGTTGCTGCCGTCGCTGCTGCTGCTGCTGGTGTAGCTGCGGCTGTGCTGCTGCAGTGATGAGTTTTACTTCAGGAACTTTGTCCTTGCAGCAGCAGCAGCAGCAGCAGCAGTAGAAGAAGAAGCAAGGGTGACTCGCCAGCCAGCGGATCTCGGGCTGGACACCGCCAACCTCTGAACTAGGGTTTAGGGTTTAGGAAATGGTTTAGAGTTTGTCTCTAAATGCGCTTCTTCAAATTCTAAAGAAGTCGCGGGCGAGAAGCCGGGGAGCTGCGCATGAGGCGCTCAAGCCCTAAACCCTAAACCCTAAACCCTAGGGCGTTAGTCCTCAGCCGTCAGGATCGCACAGGCTTCAGCACACCTCTGAGCCTCCGTAAACCCTAAACCCTTTTAATTTTGAATTAATTTGAGCTGCCTATTGAAGTAGCTCTGCGAAAAGCAGCAGCAGCTGCAGCAGCAGCAGCAGCAGTGTCGATGCTTGAGCCGTTGCCTCGGCGGCAGCGGACCCCCCCACTGCTGGCTGCTGCTGCTGGTGCTGCTGCTGCTGCTGCTGCTGCCGCAGCAGGGGCAGCCGCAGCAGAAGCAGCATTTTGTGGCATTTTACTCTTCCTTCTACGTTGGCCCTCTTCCATTATTGCATTTTACTTTAGCGTAAAGGAAAGAAGTTGCTGTGCAGCAGCAGCAACACCGGAAACAGCGCAGCAGCACGGGGGCCCCCGGTGTCGGCGGCGAGAGCGCAGCAGCAGCAGCGGCAGCAGTAGCAGCAGCAGCAGCAGCAGCAACGCGAGCGGCAGCTGAAACAGCACAGGCTCCAGCAAGGCGTAGGGCTTCACTGCTGCTGCCAGCAGCAGCAGCTCGCTGCACTGACACACACACGCGCTGTGCCTTCCCCAGCTCCAAACCCCAAACCCTAAACCCTAAACCCTAAACCCTAAACCCTCAGCTGAACAATGCGGGGGCGCTCGCTATGGACGCCGCTGTGGGGGCCCCAGGGGCCCGCAGCGCTGCGCCTGCAGCAGCGTGGCTGCGGGCTGCAGCAGCACGAGCAGCAGCAGGCGCGGGTGCTGTGCAGGCAGCAGCAGCAGCAGCAGCGGCACGAGCAGCAGCAGCAGCAGGAGCAGCATGGGCATCAGTACCGGCAGCAACAGCAGCAGCAGCTTCATAGGCAGCAGCAGCTGCTGCGGCAAACCGTGGCCAGGCGCTGGCTGGTAGGAGTCGGCTGCACGCAAGCAGCGGTGAACTGCAGCAGCAACTGCAGCAGCAGCACCAGCAGCAGCACCAGGTTCTGGTGCAGCAGCAGTCTTAGGCTACTGAGCACTAACCGCAACGGCCCCATTGAGTTGGATACAGAGCCAAATGAAGGCAACAGCAGCAGCAGCAGCAGCAACGACAGCAGCAGCAGCAGCAACGTCAGCAGCAGCAGCAGCAGCTGCAGAGGGCTGGGTGGTACTTGTCTGAAGTGCCAGCAAGCGTTTGAGGGAATTAAAATCATCTGCAAGGCAAGGCCCCCGGCAGCAGAATTATTGATTTATCTTTATTTATTTATTCTATTATTTTCATTTATTTATTTATTTATTTATTTCATTTTTATTTATTTATTTATTTGTTTGGGCTTTTATGTGCTTCTCCTTTTTTCTCTCTCCCGTTCTCTTTGCAGTCCCTCACGCCCGCAGTTCTTGGTGCTGCTGCTGCTGCTGCCGCTGCTGCTGCTGCTGCTGCTGTTGTTGCTTCTACTGCTGCCGTGAATGCTGCTGCCGCGTTGCTGCTGCTGCTGTTGCCGCTGAAGCTGCTGCTGCCACTCAAGCTGCTGCTGCAACTGAAGCTGCTGCTGCTGCTGCTGCTGCTGCTGCTGCTCAGAACTGCGGTGCCGTGCTGCCGCCTGCCTACCCGTCGACGGGTCCTGTCTCTGCCTTTGCCATATTTGACCTGTAAACCCTAAACCCTAAATCTCAAACCCTAATCCCTAAACCCTAAACCCTAAGCCTTAAACCCCAAACCCTACGCACTGTGCTGCTGCTGATTATGGCTGTCTCCTTTTCCCCTCTTGTCACTCTCACAGAATTTAAAGCTTCGGACGTAGTGCCTAGGGTTTAGGGTTTAGGGTTTAGGGTTTAGGGTTTGGTGTGTGGCTTTTCGAGGTTTTAACTCCTTTTTGATCTTTTGAGTTCCTTTTTGAATTCTTTTAATCTCCTTAACCTCCAGTGTCTCCATTAAATCTGAAAAACATCTTTTTTTTTCTTCTTTTTTAATTTTATTTTTTATTTCTTCTTTTGCTGCTGCAGTCCTGCTTCCTTTGATGTCAACTTGCCAGTTCTTTCCGCTCGCTACAAACAGCTGCAGCAGCAGATACACCCCGACAAGGCTGCGGACAAGTCAGATGTACGTACACCTCGCAGCAGCAGCAGCAGCAGCGGCAGCAGCAGCGGCAGAAGCAACAGAAATAGCAGCAGCAGCGCTGACCTGCTGCAGCAGCAGCAGCGCCCCCGATTCCGAAGCAGCAGAAATAGCAGCACGAGCGCTGACCTGCTGCAGCAGCAGCAGCTCTCCCGATTCCCACGCCCGTTAGCTCTTCCTCCCACCACTACCCCGCAGCAGCAGCAGCAGCTGCTGCTGCAGGAGCAACAGCAGCAGCAGCAGCAGTTTGTGTGCGGGTCTGCAGGAAGAGCAGGCTCTGTGTGAAGTGCACCAGCGCCACATTGCTGCTGCTGTCAAGACACTCCAAAACCCTGCCGCGAGGGCCGAGCATTTGCTGCTGCTGCAGGGCCGAGGCTCTCCTGCTGCTCTCGTGAGTTGCTGCTGCTGCTTTTGCTGCTGCTGTTGCTGCTGCTGTTGCTGCTTGTGCTGTTGTTATATCCTTCATCGCCCTGCAGCGGTGTCTGCTCCTGCAGCAGCAGCAGCTGTAGCAGCATTGCTGCTGCCCCTGACTTCCTGCCCGCTGCTGCTGCTGCTGCTGCTGCTGCTGCTCTCTTCAGGACGACAGGATCAATGAGAGGGAAATCCTCATAGAAGTTATGCAGGTGACTTTTGTTGCTGCTACTGCTGCTGCTGCTGCTGCTGCTGCCGTTTGTGGTCCTGAAGCTGCTGCCGCTGCAGCGGCCCGTTGATGTGAGCCTGGTGCAACTGCGGTTGCTGCTGTTGCTGCTGCTGCTGCTGCTGCTGCTGCAGATTCACGAACGGCTGGACTCCTGCAAGACCCGAGACGACGTGGATAAGCTAGCCAGGTGGGCGAAGGCAGCTAGCTATCCACCTAGCTGAATAGCTAGCTAGCTAGCTAGCTAGCTAGCTAGCTAGCTATCTGAATGGCTGGCTGGCTAGCTAGCTAGCTAGTCAACTAGCTAGTCGTCTGTGGCAGCCTAGCACGCGGCCTGGGCTCCCCACGCATGCAGCCAGTTGTAGCTAGCTAGCTAGCTAGTTAGCTAGTCAGTTAGTCAGCCAGCTAGTTGGCAAGCCAGTCAGCTAGCTAGCTAGCTAGTCAGCTGGCTAGCTAGCTAGCTAGCTAGCTAGCTAAGGGGTAACCGGTGGTTTGGGCGACCCCGCACTCGCGAGCTAGTTAAAGAACTCATTAGCGACTTACGGAGCTAGGGGAGTTTTGGCTAGCCTTTTGGCTAGCTAGCTAGCTAGCCCTTTGGCTAGCTAGCTAGCTAGCCAGCTAGCTAGAAAGCAAGCTAGCTAGCTAGAAGGCGAGATAGCTAGCTAGCCAGCTGGCTAGCTAGCTGGCCAGCTAGCTAGAAGCAAGCTAGAAATATGGCTCGCTAGACAGGCAGGTCGCCAAAGAGCTAGCTGAACTGCCGACCAGCTAGCTGGCTGGACCAGCTAGCTGGCCCCTAGCTAGCCAGCTAGCCAGCCAGCTAGCTAGCCACCTAGCCAGCCGGCTAGCTAGCCACCTAGCCAGCCAGCTAGCTAGCTAGCTAGCCAGAAAACTAGCCAGCTAGCTGGCCAGAGAGCTAGCCAGCTAGCTAGCTAGCTAGCTGGCTAGCTAGCTAGCTAGGTGGGGCTGTGCTTGTGGCTCTCAGCGCCGTAAAGGAGACTGTGGACGAGCTGGAGGCGCAGCTATCAGCAGCAATTATGCTCGAGGCAAGAGCTTTTTTGTTTTGCTGCTGCTGCTGCTGCTGCCACTCGCTGCTGCTGCTTCGACTTGCTGCTGCTGCTGCTGCTGCTGCTACTGCTGCAGGACCTGACGGAAGCCAAGGCGTTGATAAAGCGGCTGCGTCTTTATTTCCGCGTTTTAGAAAGAACAGCAGACGCGGATTTCTCCTAGACAAAAAACAAAACTTTTTGGCATTTATGTCTTGTGTTTCTTTGCTGCTTCTCGTCTCCCCGGCCTGCGCTGCTGCGCCGGCCTCCAGTAGCAGCAGCAGCTGCTGCTGCTGCAGGCGCCGCTGCAGCAGCTGCTGCGAAAGCTGACGCAGGCCAAGCTGCACCTGATGCTGCTGGACGGGCGGCTACAGCAGCAGCTGCTGCAGCAGGTTTTGTCAGCAGCAGCAGCACGTGCTGCTGCCGTGCGTCAGCAACAGCAGCAGCAGCAGCAATACAGCGTCCAATGTTAGAGCTGCTGCATTCGTTTCATATTCTGTGGCGTACTTAAAGTGCAGCAGTTGCTGCTGAGCTGTCTATACACCTCAAACGTAACTTGACAAGAGCATTGTTGCTGTTGCCGCTGCAGCTGCTGCTGCAGCAGTCGCTATTGCTGCAGCAAGATTTGCTGCAGCAGCAGTCCCTGAAGCAACCCATGCATTCGCAGTCCCTGCAGCAGCAGCTGCTACAGCAGCAGCTGCTGCAGCAGCAGCTGCCGCAGCAGCAGTTGTTTTTATGCTAGAAGGCAACAGCCAACACAGCGAACTCTGCGGTGCTGCGTCACGTATTGCTGCTGTCGCAGCAACAGCAGCAACGGCAGCGGAAACAGCAGCAGCTGCAGCAACAGCAGCTGCTGCCGTGTGTGCTTCAAGTGCTGCTGTTACTGGTGCTAGTGCAGCCGTTACTGCTGTTAGAGCTGCTGTTGCTGCTGTTGCAGCAGCTGCTGCTGCTAGTGCAGCAGCAGCAGCGGCTGCTGCTGCTATTTCTGCTTTAGCGAGAAGAGCTGATGCTGCTATTGCTGCTGCTGCTGCTGCTGCAGACAGCGTATAGCATCTTCTAGAAAGAGAGTTTCGTCCGGCTCTCCGTCAGCAGCCTGGAGAAGCCTCTCCCTGATGCTGCTGTAGCACACGTAGCTGCTGTCGCCTTGGTGCTGCTGCTGCTGCTGCTGCTGCTGCTGCTGCTGCTGCTGCTGCACCTGCCGCCGTAGCGGCCGCCGCTGCGGCTGTTGCTGCTGCTGCGCCAGCCAGTCAAAGAAGTCATTGAAAGCTGCAGCAACTGCAGGGCACATGCAGCTGCTGATGTCTGCTGCTGCCGATGGGTCTGCAGCAAATGCACCGAAAGCAGCAGCAGCAGCAGCAGGTGCTGCCTCCACAACGAGTTCTTTCTCAAATGTTGCGTTGAGCTGCTGCAGCCAAAGGCTTTGCCAATCCTCTTGCCGTGGTGCTGCAGCAGCAGCACCTGCTGCTGCCGCTGGGGCAGCACCTGCTGCTGCCGCTGCGGCAGCGTCTGCTGCTGCCGCAGCAGCAGCACCTGCTCCTGCTGCTGCTGGTTGTGGTGCAGCTGTGGTCTCTGGCTCATGCAAGGTTGCTGCGAAGTAGCCGACACTGCTGCTGCTGCTGCTGCTGCCGCTAGCTTCGTCTAGCTGCAGCAGCAGCTGCTGCCTGGCGCGCAGCTGCTGGTGCAGGTGCAGCAGCGGCAGAGAAATGCGCGGTCGCGGCTGCTGCTGCTGCTGCTGCTGCTGCTGCAACGCAGCAGTACTGATCTTTGGCAGGCACACGACATCGGTCTCCTCTGCTGCAGTTGCTGCTGCTGCTGCTGCTGTTTCTCTCCGCCGCAGCAGCAACAGCCCGTCAACAGCAGCGGCAGCAAGCGCAGCAGCAGCACCAGACTTCCCGAGTGTCTGTACAGCTCGGCGCATAACTGTGGGGTTGCCCCTGGCAGCAGTAGCTGCAGCTGCTGCTGCTGCGTCGCTGCCAGCCAAAGCAGCAGCAGCAGCAGCAGCTGCTGCTGCTGCTGCTGTGCCACCAGATACAGAAACAAATGCATGCCTCTCGGAAGCAGTAAGCAGACACTCCATTACTTCAAAGGGGCAGCAAAATGGCAGTAGCGGCAGCAGCAGCAGCCACTCCTGTCTGTACACTCGAGCTTGCTGCAGCTGCTGCTGCAGCAGCCACTCGTTGCGGCGAGCCGAGCGCCGATCCTTTGCTGCCTCCGCCAGCTGCTGCCAGACCCGCTGCTGCTGCTGCTGCAGCAGCTGCTGCAGCTGCTGCTCCGTCGGGGCCGCCTCCAGGCTGCACAGTGCATGCAGCAGCTGCAGCAGCGCAACTGGGGAGGAGCAGCAGCTGCTGTTTCTGCTCAGCACTGCAGCAGCAGCCCGCAGCAGCCAAGGGGGTATCTGCGAGAAGTCCAGATGGTCCTCCAGCAGCAGCTGCTGCTGCTGCTGCTCTTGCTGCTGTTGCTGCTGCTGCTTCCTGCGCTTGCGCTGCTTCCTCTGGCGCTGCAGAAGCGCCACCTTCAGCAGCAGCAGCGCGTACCAGGGTGTTCTAACCTTCTTGTCTCCCCCCTTTGCCGCTGCTCTCCGCGGTGCTGCTGCTGCTGCTGCTGCTGCAGGCCTCCCTGCAGCAGCAGCAGCAGCAACAGCTCGCACGCCGAAATGGTGAGAAGCAGCAAGACCCCAACTTTGATGTGCTGCTTTTTCTGCTAGGCGGCCGAAGATGCCCACGAGGGTTCGGGTGTACAGACACCTCGCTGCTGCTGCTGCTGCCGCCTCCGCAGACACCTCGCTGCTGCTGCTGCCCCTACCAGCAGCAGCAGCAGCAAGTCGCACAGGAGGAACCAGCAGCAGCTGCAGCGCGCCGCTGTTGCTGCTGCTGCTGTATAAACTGGAGCGACCCCAGGACGCTAAACGGTCTCGCTCCTGCTGCTGCTGGTCTCGTTGCTGCTGCTGTAGCTGCTGCTCTCGCTGCTGCTGCTGCTCAGGCGCCCGCTGCTGCTGCTCCTCCTGTGGTGTGAAGAAGTATGGCTGTTGGGTTGCTGCGGGTGAGAGAGGGGGCCTGCTGCTGCTGCTGCTGCTGCCGAAGCGTGGAGCGGCAGCTGCAAATGCTGCTGCTCTCGGGAGCCGCAGCAAATTATTTGTTTCTTTGCTGCTGCTGCTACACCAGCTCCCGCTGCACCTGCTGCTGTCTTGTCTTGCGCCGCCGTGGCTGCTGCTGCTGTGGCTGCTGCAGCCACAGCTGCTGCTGCTTCCGTTGCTACTGTAGCTGCAGCAAATGGCGTTCTGGGGAGCTGTGTGAAGCACAAGCCCGCCGAGGCACTGAGCTGCGCGCAGCAGCAGCAACAGCAGCAGCAGCTGCTGCAGCATTGTGCAGGAGCTTGCTGCTGCTGCTGTTGGCCCCTATTCAGCGGGGCGCTCTCTGCTGTTTATTCACGTTCATCTGCCTTTGATTTGTGTTTGTTTGCGGGTGCTGCCCTCTGCTGCTGCTGCTGCTGCTGCTGTTGCTGCTGCAGCAGCAGCCAGCAGCTGTTTCTTTGGGCCGTCTGTCTCCAAAATGCGTCTTCGCATAAGTCATTATTTTCCTCTGCAGCTTGTTGCTGCTGCTGTCGCTGCTGCTGCGCTGCTGCTGCTACAGCTTCTGCTGCATCTGCCGCGCCGCAGCTGTCCGCCCTCCCCTGTCACTGCTGCTGTTGTTGCTGCTGTCGTTGCTGCTCTAGAGGGTGATGCTGCAGTTGCTGCTGCTACTGGCTCAGCTGCTGCTGATGCTGCTGCTGCTCGCTCCGCTGCTGCCTCAGTTGCTGCTGCTGCTGGGTCAAGCCATGTCTTTGCTCGGCGCCCCACACAGCAGCCCTCCAGCAGCAGCAGCAGCAACAGCAGCAGATCCTGATTCAAATTCAGCAACAGGCTTGAAGGATGCAGCTGTTTTTGCTCGCTTTTGGAAAACTCGCAGGGTTATTTTGGGAAGAGATCCTGCTGCTGCTTCTGCTGCTGCAGTACTGCTGCTGCAGCAAACCGCTGCCGACACCCCAGCCGCGGCCGCAGCCGCCGCCGCCAAAGCAGCAGCAGCAGCACCAGCAGCAGCAACGGTTCCCAAGAACTGAAGAAGACAGAGCCAGTGCTTTTTTGTCTGCTTCTCACGTCTCTTTCGTTATTAAACAGTTCTATTTTGCAGCGGCAGCAGCAGCAGCACCAGCAGCAGCAACTCCGATGTGTGGCTGCTGCTGCTCCTAGAAACATGAGCCTTCGCAGCGCAACCAGCTGGCGGAGAGGCAAATCGAGCAGCAACAAGCGCAGCAGCAGCAGTATGAGAACAGCAGCAGCAGCAGGAACAGCAGCAGCCCCGGCAGGGCACCACTTTCGCAATGGTGCAGCAGCAAGAAGACCCCGACCAGCACCAGAAGCAGCAACAAGAGCAGCAGCAAGCGCAGCAGCTGCCGCTGCAGCAGCAGGAAGAGGGGAGTGGGCCTGGCAGCGGTGCGGGCAGCGATAGCGAGATCGGCTCAGCAGCAGCAGCAGCTGCTGCTGCAGATGCAGATGGTGCTGCAGATGCTGCTGCAGATGCTGCTGCAGATGCTGCTGCAGTTGCTGCTGCAGCTGCTTCAGCAGAGCTAGGCCTTCTTCTGCCAGCAGACCAAGATGGGATAGAGACAGAAGCAAAACTGAAAGGCCCCGATGTGGGCCCCTTGCCTCCCGCTGCTGCTGCTGCTGCTGAGCCAGCACTAGCCCCAGCAGCAGCAGGAGCAGAGGAAGCAGCAGCAGCAACATGGGGAGCAGCAACAGCAGCAGCGCCTGCAGCAGAACGCCCTCCAGCAGCAGCAGCACCTGCAGCAGCAGTTGCTGCTGCACCATACACCGGCAGCCGCATCTACTCCCTCCCTACACTTTCTGCTGATCCATCAGCTCCTCGGCCAGCCCCCCCAAACAGCAGCAGCAGCAGCAGCAACAGCAGCAGCAGCAGCAGCAACTTGCTGTTCCTGCGTGCAGGCTGGCTGCAGCGGCAAACCAGACACACCAAAAGATTTGCCCCGCGCTTCTTCGTGCTGCGGGGTTCAATTTTATATTCTTTTAAGCGGCTGCCATTTCTGCGCTGCTGCCCCCTTAGCAGCAGCAGCAGCAGCAGCAACGTAGTCACGGACGCGGCACTTGCTTCCTGGATCGACTTTGCTGCTGCTACCTGCTGCTGGCAGCTGCGCGGCAGCCGCGTAGAGAAATTTGTTTATGACAAAGCAGCAGCAACTTTCAGGTGGTCGCTTGTGGCCCCCAATTTGCTGCTGCTGCAGCGCATGCAGCAGCAGCAGCAGCAGACAAGGGTGCAGCAGCAGCACAGCACCTTGAAAGGGCTCAAGGGGCAGCGCAGCCTCAAGCAGAAGTATCAGCAGCAGCAGCAGCAGCAGCGACAGCAGCAGCAGCGCGTCAGCAGCGTGGCTGTCTCACCCTCCGTCTCGCTGTCTGAGGCAGCAGCAGCAACAGCAGCAGCAGGAGGCTCAGACACGAGCGATGACCAGGACGGTTCTATGGAGCCAGCTGCAGCAGCAGCAGACGCAGCAGCAGCAGCTGCTGCCGCTGCTGCAGCAGACGCAGCAGCTGAGACCGCCGCAGCAGCGGAGAGCGCCGCTGCGGCGGCGGCTGCGGCAGCAGCAGCAGCAGCAGCAGAGCAGGAGACCGCAGCAGCCTTGGCTGCATGCACGGAAGAAGTGGTGTTTGCTGCAGCAGCAGCAGCAACAGCTTACGACTGGATGCAGCTGATGGACTGCTGCTGCTACCTGGGCAGCCCCGCTGAGGTGTACGTACACCGCAACTCCTACTTCGTCTTTCCCTCAAATCTTCTTGAGGGTCTTCCCGCTTGGCTGTTTGCTGCAGGCTGGCTCTCTCTTGCTGCTGCCCGTCGGCAGCGCGAGCAGCAAGAAGCAGCAGCAGCAGCAGCAGCAGCGGCGGGAGCAGCGCTTCCGGCTGCGGCGGCGGAGAACCAGCAGCAGCAGCAGCAGCTGGCGCTAGGGGACCCGCAAGCGTTGCTGCCTGCTGCTGCGTGGCGTACTTCTGCACCTGTAGCAGCAGCAGCAGCAGCAGCAGCAACAGCAGCAGCAGCAACGGGCGAGAGAACTTTTGTGTCGCTGCGCCTTCTCGCGCTGCATGATTTGCTGCTGCCTGAAGGCTACGGGCTTTACTGCTTCCTAGAGTTTCAGTCTTCTGTGTCTTTCTTTGGGGTATACGGGGCCCCGCCTGCAGCAGCAGCAGCAGCAGCAGCAGCGTGCTGCCGCCAGCAGCGGCCGCAGCAGCAGCAGCAGCAGCAGCAGGCCGGGCTCGTCTCCTCTCCTTCTCTCTTCTATAAGTGGTTTGGAAGGGCCTCGGGAGCCCCAGCTGTTTCCTTCCGCCGCAGTTTGCTGCTGCTGCTGCCGAGCTGCTGCATCAACCTTCCTGTGTTGCACCCGAGGCCGCAGGAAGATTTGCTGCTGCACTTCGTTGCTGCCCCGCTGGAGCAGCAGCAGCAGCAGCAGGTGAAGAGCTCTAGAGTACACGAACCCAGCGGCAGCAGCAGCAGCAGCGGCAGCCCCGCGATGGCTACAGTAAATGCGCCGGCTCTTTCTGCTGCGGCTGCTGCTGCTGCTGCTGCTGCACCAGGAGACCTACTCGCCGCAAGCGAAACTTGTGCAACAGCAGCAACGCAGACGACGCTGGACGCGGCCGCGACAGCAGCAGCAGCAGCGGCGGCAGCAGCAGCAGCAACAAGTGGGGTAAGCAGGGGCCAAACCTGCCTGCGGATTGGAGCTGGACAGGACTATTATATTTGCAGTTTCCGGCTGCAGCAGCAGCAGCTCGGCTGCGGCTCTCCGCGGCTGCTGCAGCTGAGGGGCTTTTCGCTTTCTACAGCGAAGCATCCGCTGCTAGAGAAGTGCAAGAACATTCCCTCTGCTGCTGCTGCTGCGGCTGCTGCTGCTGCGGCTGCTGCTGCGAGTGCCGCAGCGCCGGCAGCGAAGAGGAACGGTGCCGTTTCTCCGGGTGCAGCAGCGGCGGCAGCAAAACAGCTAGCGGTGGAGCAGCAGCAGCAGCAGCAGCAGCAGCAGAGCGAGCTGCAGCAGCAGCAGCAGCGGGACGACCTGGCGTGCGCTGAGGAGGCGGTATGCGTGCACGAAGAGACGGCGGCAGCAACAGCAGCGGCGGCGGCAGCAGCAGCAGCAACCCCCGCAGCACCAGCAGCAGCAGCGAGCTGCAGCAGCACGCTGCTGCTGGAAGCAGCAGTCGAAGGCGCTAGCTGGCTGCAGCTGCTGCAGCACAAACCTGATGCTTTCGACACCCCACAACCTTTTAACGAATTATCTCTTAGCCCTGGAGAGGGAGCAGCAGCAGCTGCTGGGGCTTTGACTCCAGTGCATTTGCTGGGGCAGCAGCTGAAGCGCATGCAGCGGCTGCAGCGGCGGTTTGCTGCAGCAGCAAGGCAGCTGGGCTGTGTCTTTGACTTCAGCAGCCCGGGGCTTTCTCTTGCTGCCTTTTGTTACCTCATGGCTGTCGTCAGCAGCAGCGCGGCTGTTGCGCTGCTGCTGCTGCTGCTGCTGCTGCTCGGCCTCCTGCTGCTGCTGCACCCGAGAGCCGCGCAGAGGGCTCTCGCTGCAGCAGCAAGGCTGCCGCTCCTCCTGCTGCTGCTGCCTCGGGAAGGGCTCACGCTGCTGCTCTTCAAATGCCCCGCAGAGAAAGCTGCTGCTGCTGATGTTGCCAGACAGACGGCTTTGGCCGCTGCTGCTGCTGCTGGCGGGCAGGCAGCAGCAGTAGCAGAGGCAGCAAAACAAACTGCAGAGACAATCGCCTCAAAGGATCCTTGTCCTTCTGCTGCTGCAAGTGCTGCTGCTGTTGCTGCAGTCTTGCTCATGCTGCACCGGCACCAGCACTTGTTGCTGCTGCAACGCCCCGCAGCAGCAGCAGCAGCAAATGCGAAGGTGAATGCAAGCAGCAGCAACGAAGCGGCGCTGCCTCTTGAAAAAGCTGGAGGAAACCCGCAGCTGCGACAGCAGCAGCAGCAGCAGCAGCAAGAGGACCAGGATGTGCAGCAGCAGCACGAAAATGAGGTGGAGCAGCAGAAGCTGCTGCAGCCTATTTGGTGCTGCTGCTGCGGAATTAACTGCCTTGCTGGGGGGCCGATGAGAATACTGTCGCCTTTGCTACGGTCGCTGCAGCAGCGGAAGCAGCAGCAACAGCAGCAACGCTGCAGCAGCAGCAGCCCCTTGAGCCGCTTCTTCTGGGGCTTTATCTTGCAGTCTGCGTTGCTGCTGCACCGCGTGCAGCTGCTGCTGCTGCTGTCAGCAGCAGGAGGCAGCCCTGGACCTCTAACTGTTCAGCTGCTGTCGGCCGCAGCCAAGCGCTGCAGCTGCCACGGCGTCTTGCTGCAGCAACAGCAGCAGCGGCGGCAGCAGAGCCAGCAGCTGCTGCTGCAGCAAAAGGGGCAGCGAGTGACACAAGGGCAGCAAACGCAGCGGCAGCAGCAGCAACAGCTGCCGCGGCAGCTTTGCTTGCCACTACTGCCCACTGTCCGAATGGAGCAGCAGCAGTTCATCTCAGAAGGAGCAGCAGGTGATGCAGCAGCAGCAGCAGCAGCAGACAGTGACGAAAACAGCAGCGCCTTCCCCGTGTCTCTTATAGAGGCCCAGTGCCGCGGGCCCAAAGGAGAGTTTAAGGGCAGCTGCTTCTTCCAGGTAGCTGCAGACACCCCGCGAGTGGGACAGCAGCAGCAGCAGCAGCAGCAGCAGCAGCAGCCGCAGACCGAAGCAGCAGCAGCTGCTGCTGGATTTGCTGTTGTTGTCTCAAAAGAGACAGACGAATGCGGATGGGCTTATGGCGAAAGTCTCACAGGCCCATGGGTAGCAAAAGAGACCCCAAGGACAGATGTTCGCAGGCGCACGTGAGCTGCTGCTGCAGCAGCTGCTGCTGCTGCTGCCGCTGTTATTGTTACCACTGCTGCTGCTGCTGCCGGGCCTCGAGAAGCGCAGAGACGCACTGCAGCGTACTTTGGGGCCTTTATCCTGCACTTTGCCAGGGGAGCGCCTATTGCTGTTGCTGCTGTCGCTGCTGCTTCTGTTGCTGCTGCTGCCGGTTTCGCTGCTGCTGCTGCTCCCCGTGACTCAGATTGCTGCTTCCTTGTGTTGTCCCTTCCTTTCAGATGGATGCCCCCACGAAGAGTTGCACGTGGCCTTACCTTTAACGGCAGAATGCAGCAGCAGCAGCAGCAGCAGAAACAGCAGCAGCAGCAGCAGGAGCGTGTCCCACAGCAGCTGCAGCAAGATTTCCCACAAGGAGTCCCTGCACGCCTCGGAGGCTTGCCGCTTTCCTCGAGTGAAGGTCCGAAGCAGCAGCAGCAACAACAACAACAACAGCAGCAGCAGCAGCAGCAGCAGGTCAGACGCAAGAGCTTTTCAGGTGCCTCCTCAGATGGAGAAACTCCCCGCAGCAGCGGCGGCAGCAGCAGCAGCCGCAGCAGCAGCAACAGCAGGTCTAAAAAAACGGTTTTTGCTGAGGCAGCAAAAGTCGCTTCTTCCTGGCTAGAAAAGAAATTGCGCTCACGCGCTCGCGGGCCTAGCGGGTGGACTAATGCAAAACAGCAGCAGCAGCAGCAGCAGCAGCGAGGGGGGCAGCTGCTGCCGCCGCAACAGCAAGGAGAGCAGCTGCCTCAGCAGCAGCAGCAGGTACCAGGCGTGTGGGGCCTTCCTGCTTGCGTTGAAGACAATTATTTCTCGGCAGAGAGCACAGAGGCGCAGGGAGCTGCTGCTGCTGCTGCTGCAGCTGCTGCTGCAGACGATGCAGCCGCAACACCCCGGTTGATGGAGGCAGCAAACGAGGGCAGCAGCTGCAAACTGAACCAGCAGCAGCCTGCTGCTGCAGCAGTTGATCCTTCTGCTGCTGAATCTGCGGAATCTAGTGAAAGATATCGCGACGCAGCAGCACCCGAAGCAGCAGCACCGACTGCTGCTGCTGCAGCGTTGGACGCTGCAGCTGCAACAGCAAAGCCCAGCGTAGCAGCAACGGATGTAACAGAAAATGAGGCATCCTCTCTCGCAACCGACAGGGAAAGAGCAGCAGCAGCAGCAGAACAAGAAGCAACAGCAGCAGGAGCACCAGCAGCACCGGTTAGCACTGCTGCAGGAGATGCAACACGGTCCTCAGCAGCAGCAGACAGAGGCTGCAGCAGCTGCTGCAGCAGCGCAGGCAGCTGCAGCTGATACACTCAGCAGCAGCCAAAGCGAGTTTGCTTCAACACAACTTCCTGCAGCAGCAGCAGAAGGCCTCTCACCCGCATCCGCAGAGGATGGGCTGTTGGCCTCTCGTGCTGCTACTGCACCCGCAGGAGCAGCAGCAGCAGCAACAGCAGCAGCAGCTGCTGCTGCTGCTGCTACTTCAGACGGCGCCAGCGGCGGTGGGCTGCGAGGGTTTTGGTTCGAGCTGCTGGGGGTCCCCGAAGTGAAGCAATCTTTCTCAGTGGACTCATTCTCAGAGCAGCAGCAGCAGCAGCAGCAGCAACAAACCCAAAAGCAGGAGAAGCTGCAACAGGGACACCAGCAGCAGCAGCAGCAACAGCAGCAGCAGCTGCTGCAGCAGGAGCCGCAACAAGAGCCGCCATCGCGGCGGCGGCCCTCTCTGGCAGCTCCCCGATGTGAGAGGCTCAAGCTGCAGCAGCAGCGACGTCGGCAGCAGCAGCAGCAGCAACAGCAGCAACAAGTGCATCCTCTGATGGAGGTTGGGCCAGCTGCTGCTGCGTTGCTGGTCCTGCAGCAGGAGCAGCAGCAACTGAGTCTGCAGCAGCAGCAGCAGCAAGAAACTGAGCGGGAAATATGCCGCCTGCACCGCGCGGAAGAGGCTCTGTGGCAGCAGCAGCAGCAGCAGCAGCAGCAGCGGTGGCCGTGGCGGCGCTTGCTGCACCTGCGCATGCAGCCGCTGCTGCCTGTGGGGGCCCTTCCTCCTCCTGTTCCTTTTTGCGCTACTTGTGGGGCCCCCATGTGCCAAAGCGTTATTCGCGAGGCAGCAGCAGCAGCAGCAATGGCAGCAGCAGCAGCAGCAGCAAAAGGCCCCTCAGTGGGCGCGGCGCTTCTGCACGAGTCTCCCTGCAGCAGTCTAGACGCTGCTGCTGAAGCGACAGCAGCAGCAGCAGCAGCAGCAAGGGCCCCCACCAGCTCGTGCGCTGC